TTCTTTTAACGACCTTTTCAGCCGTCAGGAGGAAATACCACAAATAGACATCCTCCTTTCAGTTTCGTTTCACGTGCTGTTAAGTCCTTCACTTTAGGTTACAGGCAGCATGTCCTGGAGTACTTAGTGTGAGTTAGGTTTCGCTCCTGCATCCAGCAGCACACAGATCAGGGAGTTTTTGGCAGAACAGGAATTTTGGTGCTTTCCAGTTTTTCTCCATGAAACATTTAAGGTTTTAAAGGAAATTAGTCTCTTTGATATTTATAATTTTATGCTCTTGCTCAGACGCAGATGAACTCTACAGCAGGTTATCAAAAGACTCAAAAGGAAACGTGTTACAGGAAATTCCAGTCCTCTCATTGTCCTGCTGCAGACTGACTTACGTTTGTTATACAGCTGACATATTTCCCATTATCACTGTGACTCCAAGGATCAACATCGTCACATTGATGTCCTTCGGTAGTGAGGAGGGTTTGTGTGCAGAGACATCGACGCTGATCTCTTTGTGTTGTTGTATACGTCTCTTTTATCTTCGTGCAGTTAATTTGTTCATCGTTGTGTTGCTTTGTAACTTCTTGTGGTCACTGAGCATCTTTTTAAAACTAGATTTTTTCATTGTTTTGTGTGCACAGACATGTAAAAGGTGACCTAACACAGACTATGAGCACAGTTTGAGTCATTCTTCTGTCTGTTTGACACCATTGTGTATTTCCTGACAGTCATTTTTCCCTCTTTGTTTTTTTAGTGTCGATATTTTTACATCCTTGCGTGTTTTTAAAATTTCGTACCTTTGCGGTTGTGATATTTGCTTTCTTTTTGTACGTCTTTGGTCCTTTTGAATCTAACTGGTGTCACTTTAGTGCTTTATTGTAATAACTGGAAACCCTGGTCAGTGGTCATTTTATTGTCCCCAATGGGAAATTGATTTGCAGCACGTCCACTCATCAAACGACTCAGACATTTAAGAAAAACAAACAGAACAGCTCAAGTTTTATCAAGAGCTGCAAGAAAGTGCCGTGTGTGAGAGTGTTGGCAACAACAGTTGTGGTTTAGTGTTGTTGAGCACGATAATAGCAGCAGGTATAAAGACACTATGTCTCGTGGTTTTCTCTGCAGGCACTTCACACCTGAAGGAAGCAGCTGAAAATCTCTAAAGAGACGGTTTGTTTTAAACTTGACATGACAGCGGTCGCCTTCTTCAGCACCTGCCTGTTATAGAAGTCCACAAGCTGGACCTGAGACCTCCCTGAAGTCTGACCAGCCACTTTAACCAGGTTACCCAGTCTGGTCTTATTGGTCAGTGTCATGGTCCCTGTGTCTCTCAGCTCGCTCACTCTTGGCCACATGTTTTGATATTGCTTTTCTCTCTCTGGCTGTATCCCAATTCAGGGTCTGCAGCCTTAAAGGCCGCATTTTAAGGCCGATTACGTCACCGCGACGCGACGAAGGCTGTCCCAATTCAAAGGCTGCTCGAAATGCGGCCCTCAAATGCGTCCTTCATTTCCCTGAATTTTAAGGACGTG